TTTTTACAAAAATGCCAAACTAATATAATGGGGAAAGTATTCTTTTTAATAAATGATGCTTTAACATATGGTTAAAAACATGAACCTCAACCCTTCCCTCACACAAAAATTACCCAAAATGGATTATAGATCTAAACATAAAAGCTAGAACTATAAAACCACTAAAGAGACAGAAGAAAATCTTAGTAAACTTGAGGTAGGCACAGAATTGTTAGAACACAAAAATCACTAACCATAAAAGAAAAAAATTGATGTCGACAATCAAAATTAAAAACTTCAGCTCTTCAAAAAACACTACTAAGAAAACGAACAGGCAAGCTATAAGAGTGGGAGAAAATACTTGCAATATATGTATCTAACAAAGGACCAGAATATAGAATACATATAAAGACTTGTTACTTTTCAATAATAAAACAAACTATCTAATTTTAAAGATTTTATTTTTCCTTTTTTCTCCCCAAAGCCCTTGGGTACATAGTTGTATATTTTTAGTTGTGGGTCCTTCTAGTTGTGGCATGTGGGATGCGGCCTCAGCGTGGCCTGATGAGTGGTGCCATGTCTGCGCCCAGGATTCAAACTGGCAAAACCCTGGGCCGCCGAAGCAGAGCGCGCAGACTTAACCACTTGGCCATGGGGCCGGCCCCCAAACTATCTAATTTTAAAAATCTGCAAAAGACTTAAACTGAAATTCTAGCAAAAAAGATACAAAAATGGCCAATACACACCAGAAAAACGCTCATCAATATTCATCAGGGAAATGAAAACTAAAACCATCAGATACTACTTCACGCATACTAGAATGTCTAAAATTAAAGACTAACAATACCCAAATTGGTGAGGATGTGAACCAAGTGTAACTCTCATACATTGCTGGAGGGAATGCAAAACAGTACAACCAGGTAAACATACACTTCTGATGCAAACAAGAAATTCCAATTCTAAGTATTTACCCAAGGAAATGAAAACATATCCACATAAAGACTTGTCTACAAATATTTACAACAGTTTTATTCATAATAGCCCCAAACTGAAAATAACAGTAATTTCCATCAACAGGTGAGTATTGTATATAGAAATGTGTATAAAAGTGATACAGACAATATATGGATCAATCTCAAATACTATTAATTCTTTGTCATTATATCTTGTACTCATAAGATGTTTGTACTTTTCACCAAGGAACAAAAGAAATCAGCTCCCAGAATTGACAGTAACATATTTTATAGACAGTTAGCAAAGAAGTCTAAGAAAACTGATGAATTCCTATATTTTACTCTTCCTGGACAAATAATGTGACCCCTTTCTAAAGCATGCTCTCAGTGTTCTTTAAAAAGAGTTTGCTACTCTGGCTGAACAGTACATAAACACCACAAAATATTGCACAATATGGCAACACTTCTCCAAGATCAGTTTGTCTCTTGAGTTCATGTACCTAAAATGTACCTTAAAAGAAAATCTGTTTTCCAATATATTCCCTCTTCCCTGGATACAACTGCATACTAAGAAAACGACAGTCAGGACTGAGGTAGTCATCCAACTTTGGCTTTGGTCACTCACTCTCACCTCTTCCAACTGACAGCCTCAGAAAAAGACAGTTTAGACCAATGTTCTTAATGGGGGCTTGGTAGCCAGTATAATTGTGTCTGAGCATTTATAAATTATAACACTCTTTTGTTGTTACAAACTAACTTTATTTCTTTTTTAAGACAATTAAAGCATTATGTTGATTTCCGCAAAAAATATGTGTTAAGAAGGATTTATTTTCTATAAATGTCATTTAGGATAACAAAGGGAGCATTAAAAAGTATTTAATAGAAAGGGAAACTAGGTCTGATAGTACTGAGAACTACTCTACACCTTGAATTTTGGTCTTAACTTTCTAAAGAATCCTCTTATGATCAACTGTACTTTGGAATATAATACCGCTCGAGCTAAAGAAACACTAGGGATTAATATTAAACACTAGAATTCTAAAACTATAGCAACATGGGCTTTCTGGGGCGAGGGGCCTAGAAATCTAAATTTTTAATAAGTATACCAGATGATCCCAGTAGAGCTAAAATTTGAAAACCCCTAGCTAAATCGAAAAGGAAAGGGTTTAACTGCAACATGATATGTGGCCTCAACAAAACTTGTTTTGTGTGGCCTACAGAATGGGCCCATTTATGTGTGTGCATGTATATATACGTATTTTTTTTAATTCTTGTAGATACTAGACATTTTACAGAAAAAAAAAAAAAGATCCATCAACACTTGCCCTGCACTCTCACATGACAATCTGCTGGAGCTGAGCAGAGTTTGCTCCCCTTCCCTTCACTCCCCATCATTCCCTACTTTTTCAGCGAGGCTCACAGTTCATGTCAATTACCTGCTTAGCTCCTGTAGGTACTGCGGTTTGACCCATGACGACCATACCCAGAAGTTCATTAGGAGAACGAAGAACAGAGATGATCAAATGAAACCTCTTGAAACCTCTTTTAGTTCTGAAACATACTGTCTAAACTTGTGCTTCAGCTAGTATTAAAATAAGTTAGCAAATAGAGAGCAAGGGAAAAAATCTCCAAGACAACAAGACTCAGGATAGTATTTTTAATTTATTGAAGATAACTCTTTTTTTTAGAGGTGTATGTGAAAGTATCATTTGTTAAAGCATTTTTCTTTCTTAGTACAAAAACAAAAACATTATCTTGCAATTTAAATGCTTTCCTTGAACTCTTACAATACAAACACAAAGATAAAAGATATTTGGAGACTGGAATTACGTAGGACATTTTGAGAATCTGGAATCACAAACTTGTCTCAAAACGGAAGATCAGAACTCTTATTACAGGACCAGCCCTGTGGTGCAGGGGTTAAGTTCACATGCTCCACTTGGGTAGCCTGGGGTTCGTGGGATCAGGTGCCAGGTGCAGACCTACACACCGCTTATCAAGCCATGCTGTGGCAGGCGTCCCACATATAAAGTAGAGGAAGATGGGCACGGATGTTAGCTCAGGACTAATCTTCCTCAACAACAAAAAAAAGAACTCTTATAACCCACGTTCTTATTTATTCAGATCTAAATGTCATCGCCAGGCACACAATAAATCTTAATCCTAGAATTACACAAAACTCAGATCCTCATTGGCTACTGGCCTGTTTAATCACTTTATTTATTTTTTATTTATTTATTTTTTACTGAGGAAGGTTTGGCCTGAGCTAACATCTGTTGCTGATCTTCTTCTTTTAGCATGTGAGCCGCCCCTACAGCATGGCTGCTGACAAAAGAGTGGTGTAGGTCCTCACCTGGGAACCAAATCAGGGCTGGTGAAGTGGAGTGCGCTGAACTTAACCACGAGGCAACCGGGGCTGGCCGATGTTTAACCATTCTAAATATGAATAAAAGAAACTTTAAAATATGTCTAAAAATTAAGAACTAAGATTTAAGTTTCACCTGTACTAACTTTCTAACAGGGGGACCCCATCAGAGCAAACTAGTGTGAAAAATCTGAGATTTTACCTTACTTGCAAGCTAACAAAGCAGCTTACCATGGATGCTGGTACAAGACACGAGACTCAGGGGTCAGAAACAAAGGGCGGCTTATTGCTCACTCACAGTAAAAACGTAAGCCAAAGCACCAAGAGTTTTGCACTGGTTACAAGGGCCCCGGTCCCCACTGAGCAAGGTAAAGAGGGCCAGTTGACACCCTCACAGGCAATGGGTTGTGTTACACCAGAGGAAACCTAAGCTTGGAGAACCCTTTCTTTTTTATACCGGACCATAAGCATGCCTGCTCTTTGCTCTGCTGGAAGACACTATCTCTATCTTCCAAGGCTGTCCCTTACACAAACATCCTTTAAAAACAGAAACAAAGGACAGTCAGTACCTCCACTGGCACGACCTGCAGAAACAGAGAGACCCATGCAAAACTGTCTTCCTCAACTAGATATTGTTTCCAACACATAACTAAACGAGTCTAACACTACAATCTACTTAAAACATCAATTTCATACATCCCTTGACCTAGCTCGCTTAATTAGAATTTTATCTCAAATTAAATCAACTAGTCCTTCTAAAAAGGAAGTATATATTGAAAACGAATTATGTTCCCTCTTTCAGTTAGTTTATATTGTTTAAAAGGAGGTGCTCAAATACTCGCAAAATTAAAATGGAAAACCCTCAAGTATTCTACTAGAAACAAATAATTACAGTGCTTACTTTAGCTAACTTTAAATGTTTCAAACCTGTTAACGTTAGCAATGGGAACTACCTGTCAAAAGTCTCATTATACAGTAACAAACACCACAAAGAGAACAGTAAGTTCAACATTTCCAGCTGCTGTCTACAAAATATAAGAAAACCCTGCACCTCAAATCACTTTGTTCTATTTCTCTTTACCCTTTACCGTCTCAAAATCTTTGAAAGAGAAAGACAACAAAACATCGCCTCTTGGCTCCTTTGTCCCCAGCAGAGGGGAGAGAAGAAAACTGAGGACTCGTTAAGGTAAAGAACCCAAAACATTTAAGAGAGAAAATAGCCGGCATCCGATCTGTAATCAATCATCAAAGAAAGTCACCATCACTTCATCTCCATCCCTCCCTTCCCCCTTCCGGCTCGAATAACGCGGGTCTACACGAGATGATGAGGATCATATGGACCCGGACAAAGCTTTGGGGAGGCAGAGGGTAGCAGTTAACCAGATGCAGTCGCCGAAGAGCCCGAGATACAGACGACGGCGGACTCGGACAGAGGTTCTCCAAAGTGCGGCTCGCGGGGTCCCCAGCCCCGGAGGAGAACGCCAGGCGCGGGAGCGGCCGCAGCGCGCCGGCTCCCCAGCGCCCGGGGAAGTTGCTGGCGGGGCGCGCGGCACGCGGCCGAGCGCGCGGGCCCTCCATGTCACCGCCGCCGACACAGACCCTCCTCCCCGCCCCCCCCCCTCCGCCGGGCACCCCGGGCGGCGGCGACATGACAGCGGGTCGTGCCGCAGCGGGGCGCCCGCCTCCCCGCGCCCGCCCCTCACCTTGGGTGGCGAACGGCGAGGAGCCGCTGCCCGGCGAGCCGGGCGCGGGCACGGGCGGCGGGGTCTCGGCCGAGCCCAGCAGAGGCGCGGAGAGCATGAGGTAGCGCTGGGGCGCGGGCAGGCAGCGCTGGCAGAAGGAGTGCAGGCAGGGCAGCAGCTTGGGCGTCCGGCTCTGGATGTTCTGGTGGCACACGGCGCAAGTGTCCAACAGGTTGAGCCGGGCCGCCTCGCCTCCGCGCTCCGAGTCGGGGCCCTGCCGACTCTCGGCCTCGTTCTCCCCACTCGGCGCCGCCGAGGGCCCCCCGGCGGCCGCCGCCGAAGCCGCCGCGGCCGCCGTCGCCGCCTTCTCCACAGCCACCTCCATTGTCCTGCCCCCGCCGCCGCCGCCGCCGCGGAAGGGGGAGCGCGGTCTCCGCCCGCCGCCGCCCCCGACGACCTCCTCCTCCTCCTCCTCCTCCTCCTCACAGGCCGCTCGGGTGACCCGCGGGAGAGGGAGGGAGAGAGGGAGGGCCGGGCCGAGGAAGCCTCCTCAGGCCCCGGGGATCCGCCTCCCGGGTGGCGCGGCCGGAAGAAGGGGATCTGTCAGCGGGGACCGTTCCTCGCCCCGCGAAGGCTGCGCCCCGTGCGCTTCGCCAACCGCCGCGGCGCTCGTCGAATCCGCCCAGCCCGCCTCACCTCCCCGCCTTTCTCTCGAACCCCCCCGGCTCACCTCAGGCCCCCCCTCCCCGCCCGCCCTCTCCCAGCAACGGAGGCGAAGGCGAGGAGCGCACCACCCAATAGGCGCCGCGCCTGGCCAGGGGGCGGGGCCTGCCGAAGCCCGCGAGGCTCCGACGGCGGCGGCGGGAGGCTGGGAGGCTGGGAGGAGGGAGGGCGCCTGCCCAGCCCCGCCCCCCGAGCGCCTAGAACCGCGTCCTCTGATTGGGCTTTTGTGTGTATTTAGCTCCTCGGTGAAGATTAAGGGTTCGCTTGTTAGCTACCGACCGCCGAGTTTGCTCCGCCTGCGTGACTCCTCCTCGAGGGCGGAGCTCCACCGTGCTGCTCTCCGCCGTTAATTAAATAACTGCTTTGAAAACTGGTTTTACTCCTGGAGACGGGGGTCTTGAGGAGGAGTAAATACGGTGCGTGGGTCAGAGGAGGACGAAGTGGAGATAGTGAAGAGGAAACAAGGAAAGAATTTTAAAAATAGGAGAATGTTGTGTAAAACAGATTGTGAAGGCAGCATGGATTTTGCCACCTGAGTGTACTCATGACTGTGATGAATGATGGAGCAAGAATGGGGGGGGGTTCTTTTGCAAGTCGGGAATTTTTAAAGGATTTCGCCAATGAAAAAGGTGAAATTAATTTTTAAAGGCAGTGATTTGCTTTTCAAATGAATAAAAATGGTTCATTTTCCAAGGAATTGTATGTTTAGATATATTTATAATTATATATAAATATATCTTTCTATATTTAAAGATTGTTTGCAACTGTCTCTTGCATAAATATGGCATCATTACAAGAAATAAAAATAAATCTCAACACCGAAGTTCGAATAATTCGTAACTTCAATATTCTTTTTCATCCCCCCCCCCCACACACACACACTTATATTGGAAGTAACACACATATTCACTCAAAAAATGCCCAAGCTTTTGAGGAGCTTGAAGTATAGAAACGGGGTGGGGAAAACAAAGCTTGCATACACACGCGACTGTAAAAACAACTGCATGAAAGTGCCATTTTTAAGTACAAATGAAGTGGTGCTGGACATTTGAGGAGAGCGGGATGGGGTCAGGAAAGGCTTTGTTACAACTGAATTCATCCCGGAAGAAAAAACGGCCATGGAGGAAGGCAAACTCTAAACCTCCCAGCCCTCCCTCAAAATCTTACCTTTCCCAAATTATTCCTCTCCTACCAGCCTCTTTCCCAAACAGATCCTCAAAATCCAATCTCCATAGGCCTCTAGAGTGAGATTCTCTTTCTTAATGACATTCAAAGGCTATTTATTTTGTATAGTAGCAGTTTCTTAAACCTTAGTTTGCATAAGAATCACCTGGCAAGCTTACTCAAAAACTGGTTCTTGGGTCCATCTCCATATTCAGTTTTAGCAGCACCTCATGATTGTGATCTGGGTGGTCCAGGACCACCCTTGGAGAAACAGAAGCGTATCCCCAATTTCTTAACCTGCCTGCTGTCCCTGGTGATTTCATCCCTATACACCTCTCAGGCTGAAGCTCCCACTGTTCTCACACTTGATGCTCCAGCAATTTTAATGCCTTCCTCTTTTGCACTTGTTGTTCCCTTTGTTTTGGAATGCCCTTCACTCAAAATTGTCCCCATAAACCACCCTGGGCAAAGTTGATCACTCCTCCCCTAGGAGTAGTCACAGTATCTTTCTAACACTCAACAAGAATGGAGATTCTATTAGTAAAAGGATATGAAGATCTTCATATACTAGGAAAGCAAATTCTGTATTATAAGTTAATGATTCTAATATACTAATAATTCATTACAGAGGTGGTATACAGGATTCAAGCAGACTAAAGAAAAGAACCTTTTATTCCTTCGAATGATGGTAGTGAAGGAAAAATAAGAGGTAATTGAGAAAGCTTGTTTTGAGAGAACGCCATGTAATTTGATACAACCCACTAGTTTAGTTTCTCAAATTATCATGGATAAATAGTTTTAGACAAAATTATCTTCCATATTCTTAGACTTCCTAGTCTCGTGTAATTAAAACAATCATATGCTTTACTTTATTCAGATATATATGGCTTTGGGATTTTTTTTAAGTCCAGAAAATGAATTCATTGTTTTAGGGGTTTTTTTAACCATGTGATTTTCTTATCTAGATATTGTTAGCCTCCAAGTGTGTTGCAAAAATATTTCACAGAGTTCCACGTTACTAATAGATTGTGCTTCCTTAATTACACCTCTGAATCTAGCCCCTTCTTTTGTTCTACAATTCCTGTGGCTCCCCACTGCACCCAAGCTTCTCCACAGTTTCACCCATCTGATATGCCTGCCTGTTGATCACTGCTTTCCCATATCCAATCTAAACATCAGCCTATTTGGATAGCTTACCATTTTCTAAACTACACCACCGCCAACTCTAGCACCTGCTTTGAGAGAGGAGATAAGAATTGTCTATTCTGGAACACTAAGGGAATCTGCAAAGAGAGCAAGAGCATTAGATGCTTACAGGGCTGACCCAGTGGCATAGTGGTTAAGTTCATGCACCCTGCTTCGGCAGCCCAGGGTTTTGCAGGTTCGGATCCCAGGTGCAGACCTACACACTGTTCATCAAGCCATGCTCTCGTGGCGTCCCACACACAAAATAGAGGAAGATTGGCACAGACGTTAGCTCAGGGTCAATCTTCCTCACCAAAACAAGAGAGAGAGAGAGAGAGAGAGAGAAAGCATTAGATGCTAGTGAGGATTTCTCATGCCCACCCATCACAAGGTAGTAACAGATGGAAATTCCATAACTCTGGGGAAGTTTAACAAAATCATTTTTGAAGAACTCTCAGAGGTTGTGATAAATATCTAGGCCAGGAGGGTTTGAGACAACCCCTTCACCCAATCTTCTCTAGTTTTAGAGGAACAAAGAAAAGATTCCTCTACCTTCAGCAGTAGCTGAAAGGCTTGGATGACTTGAGCCCTCATTGTTAGGACAAGGAGGATGCAGTGTGTAGGGACCTGAGACTGTCTCAGATTATCTCAGTGGCTTCCACAGAGATGCCAGCAGTCAAGAACCAATGGAGGCAAGGCACATTCTGTGTATGCCACCGTTAACCAAGGATGCCCAAGGACCCAGCATCTCTCCCACATGTGCCATGGCCCTATCACACCCTTGGATCGTCAAATTGGCCCTAGCTAGAAGGGAGAATGAATATTATACTGACTGATTTCAAACCTGAAATGATGACCAAAACCAAAATGGAAACAATCTAATTATATTCTCAGTTCCTTTAGGTTTTAAGTTTTGTGCCATCAGGAAGATAAGAAGTTCAGTCATTTTTTTTTAAAAAGTTTATAGTCTACATACTACTTGGGAGTGCAGTAAAGGGTTAACTCAATGAGCTTGGGTAACTCAAACCCTGCACATTCCAAAGAAAGAACTGGCCCTTCCCTAACTCCTGGGAGATGACCTAGATCTCTTACCTAATAAGAGTGTTTTCACGTGCTTGAGGCCTTGGGCCACACTCCATCACTTTAACCAGATAGTTTATGCTAATAGTGCAACTTTTGTCTAACACCAGTTTTTCATATACCTGAGGCCTTGAGCCATGCTGTGTCAGTTTGACCTCTGAGGGGCTGGAGACCGAGTAGCTAAGTTCAGTCATACTGATGCTATGTGACTATGCCTATGTGACTGACCCCCAATTAAAATCCTGGATAGGAAGGTTTGGGTGAATTTCCCCAGTTGGCAACATTTTACACGTTTAACAACATGTGTTGCTGGGAGAATTAGTGCTATTTGTGGGACTCCACTGGGAGAGGACTCAACTGGAAGCTTATTCCCGGTTTCTTCTGGACTTTGCCTATGTACCTTTCCATTTTGCTAATTCTAATCTGTATCCTTTTGCTGTAACTCAGAGTATAAGAAACTGTTTCTGAATCTTGTGGATTGTTTTAGCAAATCATTGAAACTGAGGGTGGTCTTTTCTCTTTTGCATTTTTTAAATATCTCATAGGGGCCGGCCCGGTGGCGCAGCAGTTAAGTGCGCACGTTCCCCTTCTCGGTGGCCTGGGGTTTGCCGGTTCGGATCCCGGGTGCGGACATGGCACCGCTTGGCACGCCATGCTGTGGTAGGCGTCCCACATATAAAGTAGAGGAAGATGGGCATGGATGTTAGCTCAGGGCCAGGCTTCCTCAGCAAAAAAGAGGAGGATTGGCAGTAGTTAGCTCAGGGCTAATCTTCCTCAATAAATAAATAAATAAATAAATATCTCATAAATTTCATGGAAGCCAAAAATCTAGAGCTTGCTTCCTCCTGCTTTAGTCCTCTCATGCTGTGCTGCGTTCCAAGTATTTGCTTCAATTATACCTCCTTTCCTCAAATATTTTGCTCTTGTGAGCCATCTGCTGAAGAGGATGGTCCAGGACAGATACTTGCAGGTGATTTTCCTTTTCCCTCATCACCTCCCCTCCCCAATCATTTTTTTCTTCCAGATAAATAATGTTTACAGGGGCTGGCCCCGTGGCTGAGTGGTTAAGTTCGCGCGCTCCGCTGCAGGCGGCCCAGTGTTTCATTGGTTCGAATCCTGGGCGCCGACATGACACTGCTCATCAGACCACGCTGAGGCAGCGTCCCACATGCCACAACTGGAAGGACCCACAACGAAGAATATACAACTATGTACTGGGAAGCTTTGGGGAGAAAAAGGAAAAAAAAAATGTTTACAGAACATTACATGCAGAGGAAAAGAATTCACATAAGGGCTGGGGAGTAAAAGAAGAAGGGCCGTATTTATTCCCTTGTCTGAAGAACAGGAGCAATGAAGTGGGCTGTCACCTGAATATTGACTCATGAAGCTCTGGTCAGCTTACTACGTTTATGGACAGATGGAACGAGTCAACTTAAGGACTGGGAGCAATACCTGTGCAGACTGTTCTGGGAATATCTAGGCACAGAGAGAAGCCCCACATTTTAATATTCTGCCTGCTCTGTGGAGGAAGTTTTATCAGGTTTTATG